GATCCCTTGTGAAGCAGATCACCATAGCCTTTCGCTGCCCATGTTGACTAGAGCGAAGATGGTCCTTTACTGTCAGGGTATCCTTTCCAATCGAAGATAGATGAATGTTCCCAAAAAGCCGACATATTTAAAGTAATCCAATTTTTCTCCGTAAAGGTTTGCTCATTTCAAATATCGTCAATTTGGCTTTGATTCATCCGTTTATATTTATGACATTTTTTCCTCTACACTGCATAAACCTAAAATATACGTGTCAAGGTGCAACCCCACACGTTAATAGATTATAACGTGTTAGTTAGAAGGATATCTTTTGTGGGATAGGACAGCGTTCCTACATTCAAATATTTAATCTGCTTTATTGGGTCGCCATAGCGGCTATTTCTGCTTATACTTCTGTTTAAAAGGACTACTACCATAATGCTTAATAGAGCTCGGCTTCTTCAAAAATAACAAGACGCCAGGATGTATTTTTATGCTTGCAAAGATGTCTCCAACTAATAACTAGTGGAATCGCATGTATATATATTGAAGGCATTTTGAGGGTTTGGCACACAGTGGAAACTTTTCATTTAGGATAATATAGATGCCGGGTTTTGAAAAACGTCATCATAAATTAAAATATATAAGGGTACTGCGTTTAAAATTACAACTTAGAGACAAGTTATTCAGAGATAAAGAGTCGTAACCTCTAACGAAGCAAATCGAAAATGTACTTGGAATTATCTAAATTATTCGATTTATTTAGGTATACGGTTAGCCCTTCTAAATAGTAGCATTCTTCATGTCTTTTTGAGCCATTTATGTTCATTTTATCGAATGGAGTGTATAATTTTGTCGCTATCAACTTTCATAAATGACAACTCCCCATCTTGTATAGAACATATTGGAATGCAAATTGGCGTTATGAAATAAATTATCCGTCTGACTAAGGGCAGTTGCATACGCGCCATGATTTGGTACTAGGGTCGGTCTTGCATACCTCCCCACATTTATACCGCAATCTATAAAACACATGTGTCTGCAGAGTCTGCATTAGTATGAGTCAACTTTTTAACTAAACTTAATCTTTGTTTTATTTCGTCCAAGCTTCTCGCTATCAACATGTATGAACCATCAGATGCAGATTTCACAGATGCCGATGCCGATGCTGGGTACGTTGACGAGGATGAGGAGGAGATGCCGATGGCTGAACGCGAGCTGGCCGAAGATGCCATGTGGAAGATGATACAGAAGAACACCTTCACAAGATGGGCCAACGAACATCTGAAGGTGATTACTCAAAGTCTAGCTAGTTACTTACTATTCACTTAAATACTCTCTTAGCTTTTTCATTAAGTTACGAAATACACTGGAGTACCTCCGAGATTACGCTTTTTGCCAAAACAACATGTAATTAAAAGAGAAGTGCATGGCTAGCCACATCAGATATTTTGATAGGCGATTGTGATATATGTATTGAATTGCAAGTCGGACGTTATTTAGTTAGGGCCAGAATAGTTCATATTTTATTCATACTTCTAAGTATACAATATCTCCGATTATAGATAACTTATTCATTACTAGAATCTTTTTAAGGCATACCAACATGCGTCGAGCATAAAATACTGTACATATGGCTTACAAATTTGCAAGGTTTGTTCTAGCTTGGAAGAAGCTGCGCTTTTTCAAATATGCAAAACATTGCCTCCATTATTCGTTAATCA